ATCATTTGGTCAAATAGTTTGTCGATTAAATTTTGAGTGATGTATTTCTATTTACTAGGTTTAATGGTTAACGCTTACAAAATAAAATAAATGTGCTAAACATCAAAGGTCATATGGTCAGGACCGGAGTATCTTATAGACTAGTATAAGCTGCAGCCTAGGGGCCCCTCAAGCTGGAGGTTAATGGTTCTTTTTTTATAACCATAAAATCACTACGGTTCTGTTGAAATATAGTAAAATATTGGCATTTAAAGAATATTTTGGACAAACAAAAGATAGCTATGCTAGTTTATTTAAAGAATTTGCAACAAGTTTACTTCAAGCTATGTAAATGTTGCTAAAATATATCACGAGTAAAAAATATTCTGAGGGGGCCTCATAATTCCATTAGCCTAGGGGGCCCTAAAAGGTCATAATCCGGCCCTGCATATAGTACAATAGAAAGGTGTAATTGGGACAAGGGTAAAGAGGGGGGTTAGTTGATGATTAAATGTGTTACACACCAAAGTCGTATGGCAGTTCAGGAAGTAATTTTGCAAGAAAGCAAGGGGGGTGTAAGAAGGAATGGGAGCAGACAGATTGGACGATGGAGGTGTAGGATGTTCTCTTGGGTTACAATTAGATAGTTTAGAATGTCTTCAAGAGTTTCTGCAGTGGAGCGGTTTAGGAGGTCTGAGGAACGACTTTTTATTTTAAGCGGGGGAAAAGAGGGGACAGACGTTTGAGGGGCGGAGGCAGAGGTCGATGGAGGTGATGATGCAGTAGGAGATGGGGTGGGACTTTTAGCTCGTCTTCTGCAATGTACTAATCAGAGTCAGGGGCTTTGGGGGGGATTACGAAGAATAGACCCCATTTGGCTGGACTAACCCGATGTTTGTAGAGGTGGCTGTAGGAGGAGGGGTGTGTGTGTGTGTGTGGAAGACAGTAGTGTTGAGAGAGGTAGTACTGCAGAGAGGTGGACAATAAGGCTGGAAGGTAATAAGTGGGGATAGGGTAGTTGATGCAGAAAGCTATAGGGGGGGAGGGGGGTGATGAAGTAGAGGATGTTGGGAGAGGAAGGTAGGTTTCCTAGAGATTGAGTATTGACTTAGATGGATAATTTGAACTGGAATGATGTTGTAGGTATTGGTTCCCCCAGGCTGTTCATAACTGGCAAGAAGTCTGCCTTTCATCCTTTCAGACACGACTCTCACCCGCAGCAACAATAGGTGGGAGGGGGGTGAACAGAAGTCCCAAGTCATAAGATTTCTAATGTCTTCAGGAAACATATGATTATGTCTTTTATATGGTTTATGCAACTTTAAATTTATCATTAGTTATGAAAAGTTTCTTAAAAAAAGTAAAATTATTCATTTTTCATATGACAAGGTTTTTCATAAAGATTTCAGATTAATGTACAGAATCATTTTACATTGTTAAGTATTAATATAACTGTACTATTCAGCCAAGTTCATCTCTCTTTCTTTTTATATAAATCATTTCTAAACACAATGCTAAACCTATACAACAGGTAGATGTGTAAGGATAAAGAGAAAATAATACCTTCATTAATTTTATTTCTCAAGTGTATAACAAATACCATTTGTCAATACATCAAAAAGGGAATACCATAGACCTCCTTAGTACAAGTTCCCTGATGTATCACACCAAACTTCTCATTATATCTACTGCTTTTATACCTACCACAATTCACTTCTCTTTATTATAACTTCATATATCACTGGCTATGATGTCTCAACTTTTAAAAAACACCTGAATTCCATAGAAAAATAACACTACTATCTAGTCGAAAAAAAACAATCTAAGATTAAGAAGTTGTAATTAGTTTAATTACTAAGTCTCCTAAAATGTTTGAAAATAGTAAAGGGTGGAAGACAAAAAATCTGGACTTTTTCCAACTAAACTGCTGGGCATAAAATACTACACTAAAATATTTTCCTTGTAAGCTAATCTATTCTGAAAAGCTAAACTAAAATATTTCCTACTAAACTAATATATTTCCTACTAAACTAATATATTTTGAAGGACTACACTAAAATATCTTTTCTACTAATCTAATATATAAAGAAGATAAGACATTACCTTAATTCACATACACACTTACTTGGAGACCATTTGGTGCTTTTCAGTTATTCCCGTTGAATGTCTGCCTGTAATTCCTGACAATCCATCAAAAAATAAAAAAATAAAGGGCATATTCATTACTCTGCTGTGACCGCAAAATCCCTGAATGCTGATCAAACAGTTTTACAGCTGATATTTTGACCAAATAACAAGAGAGGCTCCACAAGTGCTCTGTCACCAAGAAGTCAATTAAAAGCCCTGCATGAATTCATCCGATTTTCCATTCCTTGAATTTTCAGGGGAAAAAAGTAATACTATTAAATTTAAGCCTACTACTGACATTAATATTTTAAATCACCTGAAGTTCCTATTCCTTGAATTTTTCATTAAAAACTGCTTCTAATGTTGTCAACATGAATACTGTAATATCATTGAAATTATTACTGTAAATAAAATACAAAAAAAAAAAAAAAAAAAAAATCTTAAAAATTAAGGGGGAAAATGGGTTTGATAACTAGGGCTGGTAATTGAGTCAATCTAGTGGAATCATCTGTGTGTAAATACAATTAATAAATGCAAGAGACTATTTGGTAGACAGCACTGCCAATGAAAACAGTTACATTATGCAAACATTGATGGTAATGGCATTTAGATAAGCATTGGCTGCTAACTCTTAAGGTATCTGTCATGAAAAAAAGAGATAATTTACCATTTCTTAAAAAAAGGGGATTCAAGTAATAATTAGTATATCAAATATCTCCTAGCTGCAAGCTGCACAAAATGCACCATTGTATTAACCACGAAGACTATGAAAATGGCTTGACAGTTTATTAAATTTTACAGTTTAACTTCCCTATAAATGTACCCAAACCTACTTCAAACACTGAACTCTCTGGCAGTATTAGACCTACCCCCCCCCTCAATACGAAGTCTACCTCTCAGAAAAGGTTTTAAAAAATACAAATACAGTATAAAGTAACCATATAAAAGTAAAAATGGCCTATAAAAACAGAAAACCTAATGTACAAGTTAAAATATATCTACATTCTTCTTTCCTTCTTACCCCCCCATCTAAACTTCTATAACAGCCACCACAATTTTATTAAAAGATTGTTATACATTATGCACCTATGCCACGGCAGTATTTTTATGCTATCACAAATCTGCTCATGTGACTAAACTTGACACAAGCAAATGCCTAGTACTGTTCTATTATTTTCCTTATAAATAACTGGAGGGATAAATGCATCAGAGTTTACTATTATCTGGAAATGCTACATATATGAAGTAGAAAGAATATGATTATGAAGCATTACTGGCAAATAACCACAAAGTTTTAAAGCTTTGCCAACAAATTTTCTATTTTTTTCCTTACAGACTATAAAGATTTCTTCCTGTATGGACTTTAGGAATTCATCAAAATTAAAACCTTGCAAAATTAACAGATCTGTGGCAAAAATTACGTCCCAGAAAATCTAAAACTTTACTACAAATGAGGAAACTAGCATTGCTGTCTGTAAACAATGCCATTAGTGGGTATGTAGTCTAACTTCTATTAGTTTAACGAGCTACATTTCTAATGTTAAAATCTTATTGCTAATAAGTAATATTCTAGTGGGAATACATTCCAATGGTTATGTGCCAGCTTTAAAAAAATTGACCATTGAAAATTCTGTTATCCTCAAAATTCCCAATATTTCTAATAGTATGGACTAAAGAGATATATACAGTACATGAACTCTTTTGTATGAATTCTTGACAGACCACTGCACCAAAAAGATTATACAAATTGTTAAAGACTGGCTAGTGTTTACAGGCCATTCATCAAGCTGATGATTATGACCACTGAAACAGCAAGCCAATCATAACATCAATTCACAGCAACTCCTACATGTGACTGATTTGGAATGCATTTTCCTATGCCTAGAGTAATTTTGATTTTAGTAACTTTTTATATTTTGAATGATAATATCAATATAATTATGATCAAATTAGAAAATGACTAACCCCAAACTTATAGCACTTTACTTTATGACATCTAAATATTATTAATATATGTGTAAATCAAATCTAACTCCTTAACATATCATTTGCATAGAATACATTTATATTCCTACTTATTCTTCATAAACATATCTTCAGAAGAGGTCATTAATGCCACTAGCAGTCCAACTTACCAACCTTACCTAAGTGTGATGCAAGATTTATATGCCTTGAATCTCGAAAACTGTCACACCTGAAGTCGCCTGGGGACACAGTGGGTAAAGTTAAACTACAATGCATTATTCTCTTTCAATTCTCTGAATAAAAGATTTAGTCTGGCATATAATTTGACAAGGTGCTATCTCATTACAAGTGACTAATAATTAGATCACATGAATTTTATGTCACAATATCAGAAAACATTCCAGTATGGCAAATACGTATATGTCGAAGCACAATGTCTCATATTCAGTAAGAACCCTCTTCCTTAAGCTTTTGGTATGCTCCCGGCCTTTGAGCTAACTATTTTAACTGATACAGCATTCTGTAATTTACTTAATCTTCTTACAGTGCTCTGGCCAGCTGGATCCTGTGTGTGTTAACCCGGGAGAATGTGAAGCACACATCAAAAAGAATCAACCAATTACTGGCATTTCCACTTGTAGTTTGAAGCTAAATACCGGCTGAAGGAAATTCAGAGGTTCAGTTTTTTAAACGGCTGGCTAGAACTCTGCACTTCAGTTCCGCAATGAAAAAAAATAAAGGCGGCTTCAGTCCTTTGAGTACTTTCCGTCCAAGTAGTAACTTACCGACATCAACCGAACGGGCAACTGCTCTTACTTCGGACACAGATATGTGCTATCATTGTCCAATCAATAAGAAAGCTCTTACTATAGATATGAGACATAAGTTTTACATCTCGAAGGAGTGCTATACTCAGTAAAACAAACGAGTGATAATTACGATATCTTTCTTTATTTGTAATAGCTTCAACATTGACAATATAATGTTAAGAGTCCATGATCTACATCACAAACCAAAATATAAAACAGGCAACTTAGGGAATACTTCCTAAAACTAACGGAAAAAGAATCGACATGACAATCAAAATCACTACTATCCCTAAAGTAAGAGATTTAATAATCGGACTGACAATGATATATGCAATTAATGCCCGTGGGGGGTATCATGAATGAGCTTCGTACGCCCATCCCTTGTTGCTAGAGCAGCGCGGCACGACGTAGCCACGGCGGCGCTACGGATCCGGGCGGAGCCGACACGGACGCTACACGAGACGTTACAAATACACGCTGATGCCACACTACCGCGTCCGCACCAATGAACGAGGGCTCAGTGGCGGTGGTCCCGGCGTACGGCGCGCGCTTAGTACGGCCGACGGTCCGGTGGGCCGTAACTGCGGCAATAAGGAAGGGGTGGGAGTTAGTTCTCACCTGTACCCTTACTATGTCAATAATGAAATTACCACAAAGATTCCTAATCCTTCACTTCATCTATTAAAGTACCTATGGTTGCTGTACAGATATTGTCAAAAGAAGGTTAGATCTGACTAAGACTACATGAACTGTGCCTGAAATTCTTCTAACATCAAAGTCTTAGTATCTACTTACCCACGCATTGGAGGTGGTGGCGGTGGTGGGTAACTGGAAGGAAAATGCATTTGATTCAGTTAATAACTGACTGATTTCTTACATATCACTACAAGAATATCCACACTACTCTTCTTAAACCCTGTAGTGTTGTTACCCTTTTGGATAATTCAAAAGCAAAGAAACAAGAGCACGAAGCTTGAGATGTGGCTTGCTTAAAAATACTCCTCAGCTGCGTCTTACCCCTCAACACACAGCTTTCCTTTCATAATGTTCAGAATAGGCAGCAAAATATTATATAATACCTAATGAAGTATAAATACCAAAGCTTTTAGCAAGGTTATCAATAAACTATAAAAGTACTTTTCTCCTGAGTTCTGGGATATACCATTCCTCAACTTGCCAAAGGTCCAGTTTTAGCAATCACTAACAAAAATCAAATGCTGTCAGTATCTTGATAAACTGGTAAATCAAATCTCTGCATTTCAACTTTCCCCCGCCAAAAAATGATCCTCATTCAACACTCACCGAGGAGGTGGAGAGCGACGACCATAGCGCAGGTAGTCTGGGTGAGGAGGAAGGGGAGGAAGACGTCGCTCATAGATGTCGTCAAGCATTGGAGGGGGTGGGGGAGGATGATCCCCATATCGGCGTTCATACATACCCTCATCATAGTAACGGTCATAGCGGTCATACCTGTCAAAATCATCCTGTGCAAGAAAAACACATTAGCAAGGACGAATTCTGGGGAATCAGCCGATTCTAATCACATGAAAGCCATGAAAATAAATAGCATTTAAGAAACCCTAAACACTGTGTAATGAATCTGAAAGAACTGGATATCAATCCAACACCCATATAACTTACCCTGTATCGCATCATACGTTCTCTGGCATAGCTTGGAGGGGGCGGTGGGGGGTAGGGGTCGTAGCGGCTGCCGTAGTTTCTGCCTCCCCTTTCGCGGTCAGGATAGCGAGAGCCTCCCATACGTCCGTCGCGGGGGCACTCCTTCGACCAGTGGCCTCCCGAACCACACCGGTAACACATGTCTGGATTACCCATGCCAGCCTGCTGTCTTACTCGAGAGGTGGACTCCTGAACTCGCAGCCGCAGACCATGCAACTCATATCCGTCCAGCTCCCGGATGGCTCTCTGGGCTTGGGCCTCGTCATCCATGTGCTTGAAGAAATTGAGGATTATTTCACTTAAAAAAAAAAAAAAAACAGATTGATGTATCTAATCAATGTCAATAAGACGGACTAACATATAAAAATTATATTACATGCTATACTTACAATAAATGCATAGTTAGTGAGAATGTCAGATTCAACCACAGAGCCATACACCTCAAATAGACTCTTCAGTTCCTCCAGTTTTGTGTCCTTGTGCAAATTGCCTACAAAGATCTTGGTTTTCTGGTTGCCGCCTTTTCTTGCCCCAGTGGAAGCTTCAACAACCATTGGCTGGAAAAACAGGATTATGAAAAAAAGGAAGAAATAATGATAAACACAAACAAAAACCCTCACTCTACCATGCTTCCCCTCTGGCTGCAAAAATGGGGTTATGTCACTAAGTAAATTAACACAATGGTGATGGGTGAAGAAAAAACAAAAAAACTACACTCTGGTGATCAATGGCAGTACGCCGACTCTGAGCGTGGGAGTTTGATACATCAGGCTGAATCATCGGCTCGCCACACTTTGGCGTACAGCCGCACACCACAATTCAAGTGGTTTGTTTTCACACCGCATTGTGAAAGGGGTTAACTACTAATATATCTAACCCCTTTTTGCCGATTAAAGAAAAATATTAAAAACTATGCTCTGGAGATTAAGAGCAACTAGCCGACTTTGAGTGCAGGAATTTGCTACATCAAGTCGAACGCCCAGCTCATCGATCATTTCAGTAGACTTAGGCTGTGAGAATATTTTCCCACAATCTCTCTTTGTGAAATTGTCAGCAGAATATTTCTTTTACCAATGACTACACCTTTTTGTCCTCTACAAGAACATCTTCAATTTGTCCTAGCTTAATGCATCTATACAGTAAAGATTACGCAAACCCTTTACTCATTGCTGATCAATGAGATATATCCATAGAGAACCTCGTGTAAAATAAAGTACTACCTAAAACGAAGCAAAATGCAATAATACATAGAAATAGACGAATAAACATTTTCCTAGATCTCTAATACAACTGTAAGGAAGTGTAACTATTTTACAGACAAGATTAAATGAAAATTTACTTTAGGCAAATTCCTATCACTCAAAAATGTTTCGTTCAGTAATATCAAAGACAACCATCGTCCTAATGCATTTACAACCTATCTATGTTACTGAAGAAAATAAATAAATAAATAAATAAAGAAAGAAATAAAGAAAAATACGGCCAATTAAACAGAACCCATATTCCTTACCTTTCCATGTAGGGAGTGGCCATTTAATGCTTCAATTGCAGCCTGGCCTTCCTCCTCCTTTTCCATGTGTACGAAGCCATAATTCTTCACGACATCTGCTTCTACAACTGTGCCATGTTGTTCAAACAATTCCCTAATGTCTTGCCCAGTGGCCCGGTCACTTAAATTCCCTACAAATATTTTAAATGTGTTCCCCCGAACGGGCATTTTGACCTTATTCTCTGCAAAGAAAAAGAAATCTATATCAATAATTAATCATAATTTTTTTTTTTTAACAAATTAAATAATGTTTATGTTTCTGCCTAACAGAATTCAACACATTTAATACATTGGTATTTGTTAACCCTACAACGCATCCCTGAAATATATCTCAAATCATTCCCGTGACTAATGGCAACAGTCTAGCCTTTTGCCCAGGGTATTCACTACATATTGTAGAATTTCCCGCTTGACTCGCTAAAGCAACTCATTATGCTTAGAGCCATATCCATCATGTCATAAGTTGGTTTATCATGACGGCAAGAGGCGGGCTTGGCTGTAGGAGGTTAAAGAGTGATGCATCTCCCGAGACAGTATCAAATCCATATGTGGGTATGTCTCAAATCCAGATATGGGTATCATGCAAACCCAAAAACCTAAACCTAACCTATCCTACCTTCTCTTTACTCCCTAGACAGGGAGGAGGGAGCTACCCTGTAACCCTTTTAAGTGCACTTCAAACCAACTGTCACAATAATTTGGTCCTAGAAAATATTTGTGACCGTTTCAGTGTTGATGGTACAGAGTAGCTGTGGCAGGAGGAATGATAGAAAATGGACTATTAGAAAAAGCAACATTAAGAACTCTCGTTGTGTGAGGGTGTTATGGCGTCTCTGAGCTGTGATATGCAGTGGATATTTTCATTATTTCATGGTAAACATGAGGCAGCAGCAGCTGTACCAGTTTTGTTTATGGCTATTTTAATATGCTCTACAAATTTTTTATACATCAATGGCTCCCATACTTAGCCTGGGTGGGGGTGTTACAGGCATACCCTCCATCACAGTAACACAATGAAAAAAAAAAAATTGTGATGAACTTGGTCTCGGGTGGGTGAATTACTATATTGTAAAGAATTTCCAGTAATTTGGTGAAGCTTTACAGTAAAGACACTTGGAAGAAACTATGACTTACTCCATGTCACAAACTTCACTCAACAATTTAAGTAGCTGTGACTGGGTGTGCCCCTTGGGCACTGTCTGAGGGGAGAATTGACGTATTTAATGGAGGGGAAAAAAAAAAGGTGTTTGATCCTTCAGTACCTGCATAAATTTGTCAACTACATTCAGTCTAGGAATTAGTGCTAGTAACTTAAAAAAACACTAACAATAACTGTCAACGACTTCTGCACTTTGCACTTCTAGCAACAAATCTCCACCAAATATTCAGGCAAGACAGATCTGGAATTGGCTCCTTACTTGATATATCACCAAGGGGGGGTTTGAGAATCAGTCCAAGCTCAGTCTTGCTAGAAAATGTGATGGCGTTTTTTTGCCTTTGAGGAAGCATTATGGCCACAGCGTGAATAAATACTAACGTGTAAAAATAGGATTTGCAAAAAGGGAAATTTAATCTATGGATGTCCACCAAGCCATGTCTTGGTCTCCAAATTTCATCCTCAGATAGCCTATCGGAGTTAATGTTAACGAGAGCAATGCATAAAGGGAAATAGACACCGCCAACTTGAGCATAAGAAATAACCATAAACACAGGTACACCTACTGCAGCCTCATATTTACCGTAAAATTACAAAAATAGCTACTGTATATCACCACTCAAACACTCAATCCACAACACCTTCACAGAGCCAGAGTTGTTAATGTAACAAAGCGGGGTAAAGAGTGGCTTCGGAGTATGGATTCACAACACCCTGGTTTTCGGACTTCATCACTGGGGGGGTGCATCATTGCTCTAAGTAACAAATACATTTCCAAGCAACAGGAATCCACAACATATACCCTCTAAACAGACTAAGCTTGCAGATCTTCCCAGCAATTTATCACCACAGGAACCAGCCCCGAGCTCCATCTACATGGAAGAGCTTTATTCCCCTTCGCTGGAGTGTAAAGCACACAGGCAACTCCCACCTCCCCCCAAGTCTATATATTTACAGATTGAAGGATTCTACATCACCCATTGGAAATCAAACCAAAGTAATGCCTATTCCCTAGAAGCTATCCACCTCCAGGGCATTTCCAAATAACCTTTACCCGTCATCCGGTCCGCTCTCCCGCAGTCCTCTCCTTCCTCTGGTCCACTTTCAGAGCACAAATTCTTTAAGAACACTTCCCGCACTCTCCAGACAGCAATTTAAAGCCCCCACTCTGCTGAGGCCAAAACGACTCCCCTGAGGTCACGTCAGGTCACGCCTCGCTGACCCTGACCTTCGCGTCGCTTGGGGGGGAAAAAAAACTTACTAAATTCCCAAAAGCGTAAACTTAAAGAAAAAATGGAGGAGGCAGTCGGAAACGTTTATATAAAATTTAAAGACCGATTAAAAGCCCTAAATTTGTGATGTTGGTTTTCGGTTCCCTGGCCTTTTGAGCCCCTCGTCCCTTTCTCTCAGGGATCAATATCGTCTTAAAAGCGAATTTCGGGGCCTTTTTGCACCCCCTCTTGCCCTGGGAGGAACGCCGGGTCTCGCTCGCTAGATCTCGAGGGCAATTCGGCGCCTCGAGGGGGAGAAAACCGGCGAAGAGCGCGACGGAGACGAGAACGACTTCCTCAGGTTTTCTACGACTACCAAACGACGACAACAACAACAACAACAAAAAAAAAAACGAAACGAAAAAAAGAAAAAAAAAAACTCTTTCCTTCGTTCCCCCTCTAAACTAAACCCGTCTCCCTCCAGCCACTCCTTCCTCCTCCTCCGCCACCTCCCCCTCGAAGGCCCTCGCCCCCCTCGTCTTCCCCCGCACGCAGGAGCTTGGGGCAAAGGGCACGGCGGCGCTCACCTGGCCCCTCGATTCTCGGCGGACGTCTCCTCCCGTCGCCTCCGGAGTCCGAGCTCGTCTGATCCAAGATGGCGGAGGCTTGGGCAAGGCAGCGGGCAAGGATAAAACTATCGTATCCCTCCTCTCCATAGCTTATTAAAAATATCCAGAGAAGATTGTATAAAATAAAGATATTTTATTAAGGGTTTTGTAAGTATTTGGGTTTTATTTGTTCTCTGGTTGTATTTTTTAATTCTCGAAATAACTCTATTGGGAAAATAAACTCTATCAGGAAAATCTCCATCGAAGAGTTAATATGATAGAAATATTTAATTAAGGGTTTTATAAGTGTTTGGGTATTATTTATTCTCTCATTTTATTTTTAATTCTCGAAATAACTCCAATAGGAAAATAGTTTCTGATTTCGGTGGCGTCTGTTTGGAGAGGTTGCCATGTCACCAAATTGATTATAATTAATAACGCCAAATGCTGAATTATCAATGGGGAGGCCGATGATTAAAGATGATTAATCGACGCGAATGATTATTAATTTGAGGCCGACGCTATTAAAATACTCCAAATGGCCGTCTAAAAAACTAAAAATTAACTCTAAACATCAGAAGGGGTAATCGGAACGTTTGATAGGATTGTTTTTATTACTCGTTACTATAAAACTTTTATTATTCTCCTTTATGTGTCTCTCCCGATTAAAATATCAGCACTAACGAAAAAATACCATAACAATAAATAAGACGGATGCTAGAATAAATTCGATAATAAGTAATTACAGCAATATGTACTCGAAAACGTAAGACTCTGTTTGTTTGTAAATATTGCCTAAAAGCGGTACGCGGCCTTTGAGGTTTTACTTTTTTATTTTATTTTTTTATTATCTTTTAGCGGATGTATCTCCGTCTGCTGCAAATATCATTGATTTAGCAGTAAACTGGCTCTCTAATTTACGCTTAATTGCTATTAGTAACTGCCATTCATAAGGAACTAAACAAAACAACATCAATAACTATAATTATTATTATTGTTATTATAATGATAGTAATAATGATAATAATAATAATAATAATAATAATAATAATAATAATAATAATATTATTAATATTATTAATATTATTATTATTATTATTATAACAATAACAGTAGTAATTATTATTATTATTATTATATATTATTATTATTATCATTATCATTATTATTATTATCGTTATTATTATAATAATGATGATGGTAATGATAATCATACCTAATACCTTCATGCTCTTACATAAATTCGCACACACACACACACACACACACGTACACGCACATTATACCAATACAAGTTAGGAAGCTCTAATATAGATCCAAGCAGATTAAAAAAAAGAGACCTTGGAATAATCATAAACAGGAACCTAAGCCCTAATGATAAACAACAAGGTTCATAAAATGCTAGGGCTGACTGCC